TCAGGCGTCCGCCATGATGGGCGCGGACCGGGGGCTCCGGGACGGGGGAGAAACAGCGTCTTTCTTCTCATCCAGCGGCCTTCCGCCGGGGCTGGCCTCATGCCGTACCTCCGCTGCGCGTGTAAGCCCCTGGGAGGGGTTTTTAAGGAAACGGAAAAGCAGCTGTCAGGCCCCGGCAGCGTGAGGCGCTGAGGGCAGGGATCCAGGAGAGACCTGAGGGGGAAATCTCGGTACCGGCGTGACTGAAACCGGCCCTGGACTGAGGCGGACGAGAGGGAGCGGGGCTCTGCTCAGCCTCAGCCAGCACCAACGCGCTTTCTTCCACTTCTTCACAGGCAGAGACACCTTCCCTAAAATAAATCTCCAGCAGCTTTAAAAATGGATAGCTACAACTTTAGCCTTCTGTCTCCATTAACTAGTTTTCAATAGTGAAAGAGTCTGACATAGTAACAGTATGGCTAAGCGCCTCTGTAAGATTTAAAAGGACCACAAGCCTTTGTTGGTGATCAGTGTCATTCAACGAGCGCTGTCTGCTTTTAGCTGCAGCAAGAAATCGGGATTAAGAAGTCAAAATTAGTCTTCTGAACTAAGCTATGAAGCGATCCTGATGGCTGCCAGGATATTCTTTCCTTAAGAGAAGGAAAGAGGTGGTCAGGAGCAGAGCAGGAGGATGCTGGCCCACAACAGGTTTTCTCTCAATGCGATGCTTCTGACTGTACCTGTTGTCTCCTGCATAAACACATTTGCATTTGCATTTACAAAGGCTAAATCCTGTTTGCCAGATATAAGCACACCAAGTAGATTCAGGAGGACAGCTAAGATTTCTTGAGGACACAGTGAGAGAACCTAAGGATTTGAGGAATTTTTGTAGTAACAAGGTGCGTGCCAACCTAGTTCATTTGCCTTGTTTCCTGACAGGGGAGAGGGTGTGTACTGTTATTTCTGTGGTAGAAGTAGGAAACACTTTCAAGAATTATAGTGTAAAACAGTTCTGTCCAACAGATACAGTTCCTGTTACAGCAACACATGCCCTTTCTAGGTTAATGGTGTGATGTGGATGAAATATATCAGTTCTCACTTTTATTATCACAGTGGCACAAAAATAATTAAAGATGAGAGCAACAGAAATACACATCAGCTCTCCAAATACTATGGTCAAAAGTTTTAACTAACAGCTTTGATTTAGAGACAGCTTCACAGATGTAACTGATCGCATTTGGAGTATGGTTACATTGTTACAAAGGAAAGTTTACAAAGCTCATTAAAAATATAATCAAATATTCATGACTAGAGTTAGCTGAAGCAAGGAATTTTGTTGTGCTTGTCCTTTCACTTTGTTCTCTGTGCATTAGTATTTATGCTTTCAGAATTTGGCAGGAAGCTCCATCTTCTTTTCAGTCCATCTAAAAGAACAGAATTATTAGACATCAGGCTTCACATTCTAAAAATAAACTGAGTTGGCTTAATTTCTGGTACAACAGATGGCATCAATACAAACAATCAGAATTACCCTTTGAAATATATTTGCTAAAGAGTGTCCAACAGATTTCAAGTGTTCATATCCAAGTAATACACTAGAAGCGTGCTTGAAATAGTGTACAGCTAAAAGCTGCTTAAGCAAAAAAAAAACAACTTAAAAATCAGCAGAATTTCCTTAAAAACTGTAGTATGTTATTTGTTCCTTCATATACTAGCTTCTCAAGGTTTAATTACACTTAAAGGCTAATCATTTAAGATCTTAAGAATAAGTGATGCTATTAAAAAATATATTATTTTTCCCTCACAGCATTTTAATTTATGTTTGTGACAATTCAGTTTACAGTTTTGTAGGTCTTCTCCACATGCAACTGTGTAAAAAAAACTGTTTCATACCAATTTGTTTTCCATTAAGGGATTTTTCAAGTATCGTTACAGGCAAAATGTACCCTACGAAAGGAAGCAGAAGCTTCTAGCTCAGGCAATGTACACATTCTCCTGTCTACTGTGAGCAAGTCAGATGGTATTTTGTGCTTTACATTTTGATTGAACACCTCTATAAAGCACTATTTACTCTTCATCTACTACTGGGGAAAGTATGACAATATCCATAATGTCATATGGCAAGATCAATGCAAGCTGAACCTGCCTGCTAACAGGAGTTTATTAATCACCATGTTTAACATTGAGTTTATCAATCACTATGTTTAACATTTCTGCACTTGACCATCTCCATCTGCAAGGCAGAGCTCATACTATTTTCTTGCCTCATGAAACCAGATTCAAAATACAAACAGCAGCATTTGTATAGCTGATTTAGAAGGAATGTTAATGTAAAAAAGACATGGTAGAACTATGCAGTTTGAGTATTTCTGAGACATAACACTGAAGTTTTTAAAGATAATAAGATATTTGTTGTTGGGGAGGGGGTATAATTTACAGCAACCCTTCTGCCTAAATCTAATTGTTAATTTGAAGATAAAACATCTAAAATAGTTACAGGTGTTTTCTTACCTTGGGGAGTCAATTCCACTGTCTCCTGTAATGCTGTGGTTTTCTGTCCCTTCTGAGTGTTTTTGTCCTGATAACACAGTACATGCATCCTTAAAAGACAAATCTTTTTTTCCCAGAGGGTTTCTTCTTTCTTTGGTTTGTGAGCCCAAAGCACAGCGTGCCACTGTCTCATAGGTGGAGTTCTGCAAAGTGTCAGCATCTGAGTCAGCCTCATTAGTGTGGCAGAAATCTGCTACAGCTGAAGCCTTTGTGCATTCAGTAAGGCCAGTTTCTTCTTCCTTTCTGTGCACTATCGGGAGAACCTGACTGCACAAACGACTTTCTTCTGTAAAATCTGGTTTTGGATGCTCTTTTGAGCCATCTGTTGTTTCTGCAGAACTATCACTTTCCTTATATCCATGCTCCCCAGGGTTACATTTATTTATAGTTGTGTCGTACTGGGTGGGATAAGTATTAACCTTACAGATTTTTAGGGCCATAGTTGTCCCCAGCTTTTGCACACCTTTACTCCAGTCTCTTGAATCTGAAAAAGTGTGGCCAGGAGGCAGGTGTGGTGGTTCACTGCCTTCAAAACTGTCATCCAGATGTAATGAGCTACAGGTGTCACCATCATGTGCTTTTTGGTACAGAAGATGGCAGTTCTCAGTAAATCCTTCACTTTCCAGCTTCATTGATCCAGGATGGCTGGCACAGTCATATTTAAATATATGTTCACTCTTTTGATCAGTCTTTTGTCTGTATTTCACACCAAATCTTTTTGCCAGGTTAACATTGGCTGTGTAATTTGAAAGACGGACATTTTGAAATTCATTTGCTGTTTGATCTGATAACTCACATACAGTGTCAGCTCTGCACCTGCAATACTCATCTTTCAGATCTAATGAAAATTTTGCATTTTCTTCGCACACACCATTATCTCCAGTGCACGAGTGAGGGGCTTTTTTAATATCTCCAGGATTTATTTTGACTGTTCTTCTGTAGATGCTTTCTTCAGAAATATTACTCTCCAGATGGTATTTGCATTTATTGTCTGTTTGCAAAGTACTGCCATGTGGATAACTGAAGTTTTCACTTAAACTACGTTTCTTTAGTTGGAAAGAAGACCTATTAGCATGGAGTAGTTTGTTCTGCTTAGCTTTGTCAGCCTGCATTTCAGTAGCCAGCAGTTCAGTTTCATAGTCGAAGGTTTTTGAGGAGTCCAAGGACCATGGCATTTGTAAAGCCCTTTCTTGCTTTCGAGTCCTGGACTTCAGCTGACTGCTAACAGCACCTTTGTATCCTTTCACATATAAGCTGCGTCTCCATGGCAGACCCTGAAAAGGGTTCTTAATTTGTTTTTTATAGATGACGTGAGATTCCACTGCTACATCAGACGGCTGTTGGTTTCTGATAGGCAATGAAAGGTTCTCTTCCAGTTTCTCGTTTTGGGATGTTAGCTGATGTACATGAGATTTCCTGTTGCTTCTGCTAATCTTCCTCTCTTTGTTTGATTTGGTTTTCCTGGTGTGTTTTGCTGTTCTACTTTGTATCTTTTGAACACAATCCTTTGAAAGATGGTTTTGCCTGACTGTTGACACTTCAGCAGAGGTACCCTTAATAGTATATTTTTTCTGCTCCTCAAACTTCTGCATTAATATTGTGTGCTTAATCAAATTATCAACTGTGAGAGTAGGGTTAATACGCTTGATGATTTCATGTTCAATATCACGTGGAATATTATCTAAGTCATCCTCATCCCTGACTGGCCACTCCTTGGGAGGAAACTGGGCTGAAAAAGTGGAGTACTCCTTCTTACATTTTTCTTTTTTAGAAGCACTTCTCCAGAAAAGGCCAAGGCCAAACCTCTTGCATTTCAGTTTCTCTTTCACAAACGTCAAGGATTTGATGGTGTCCCAGGAATGGTTTTCAGCAGTTGTGGAGATCCCTTGAGATTGAATTGAAGGCTTCAATTCACTGCAGCCTTTCTTACCTCCTGCATTAGGTTCATGGTGCATTAGCTGCGGATGTCTTTGTTCACAGAGTATATTCTGGTCAGGGAAACAATGGCAGGATCTGTAATGGGATACCGTAGGAATGTTTTCTTTTGCTAAGTTTGCACAGCGCTCAATGTTTACAAGGTAAGTGATGGAAGGTGATGAACAGCAGCAACTGTCCTGCAACAGGACCCTTCTGTTGTCTTCTGAGGCATCACTTGTGATAAAGTACGTGTTGGGAGTCACAATGAAGTATCCTTCTCCCGTGTGATAGATTTTCCTTTCTTTAATTAGAGTGCCAAGGATATTATATAAGATATTATGGGAGGGAACTGCAATGCCTACAACAAAGATACAGATATTTCAAATCGGAAATAAGTTTTCAAATAAAATGGGAGCTGACCAAAAAATAACTTACAGATCTAGAAGTGACTGAACATGAATACCCAATGTATTTAGTTGGCAGGATTCTGAAAGAAGTTTGAAACTGGCCTGGCAACTGAAGTTTGCAAAGGGTATAACTCAATTTCAACATGGACGTGTCCAGTAGCACTGGACAAAAGGCAGGATATTTTTTTTTAATACATCACTACTCTGCCGAGCTTCCAGAGCCGGTAGTTGTGCTTGCATCCAGTTGTCCCCCACCACACCCTTGGGCTCCCTGCTCAACAGGGACAGTCCCACTCTGCAGCGGTGTCCACGCGTGGAGGGCAGCGCCAGCTGCCCCAAATCGCGGACTCAGCACAGGCTGCAGGGTTGGGGAGAGCCCTCCTGGGCCAACCAGGTGAGGGCAGCACAGAAACATTATCCAGCCGAGGGCTCTGGTAGGTGCCATCCCGCCTGTGTCTTACAGATCAGTAAAACCCTTTTTAGTTCTGCCAAGGGCATTCCTCACTGATGAGGCAAGGTCACCCTGAAGACAAAGGTAAAGACCAGCTGCGTTTCTGGTTGTCACTGCAGCACTGCTGTGATGGAGCTTAGGATGTTCGCCTTCAAATAAGCAAGGATGTTCTCTTTGTGTCTGTCAGGATATGATATTCATGAGAGAAACCTTCTGCCAGGTACAAGCCAAACAATGTGTTGTTCAAAGCATTTCCCTCTTGGCAGGTTATTTTACAGTGGCTTTTATCCCTCTCTCTGAAGCTTCTGGTATAATTTTGTCAGATGACAAATGCTACCGAAGTTACCTCACTGAGATTGGTCTTAGTTGCTAGTTTCCCCTCAGGTGTAACAGTCCCAGTCTAGTGACATCTGATCTGCTGCCCCAGGTTTCTGCTGATCTCCTGCCCCCAAGAATGAAAACTTCCAGCAAGGTGAAAACATATCAAGAAATACACTCTCTGCCTACAGACTTTGAGAGTGCTACTTCTGTCTGACCTAAAAACGCTACACTGTGGTTGTCTCAGTGCACATATAGACAATGTCATGTTCTTGGCAGGGTTCTGGGCCAGTTTATGGGGCTGCATTAAAAATTTTCCCACTAGTGAAAATGCCTACCAGATCAACCTGTAACATTTGCAGAGCTATAATATTATGAAGACTCAAAAGAAGAAGCTCAATATCAGACCAAGAAACCTCCTGCAGAGGGCTATAATGAGCCTTCACAAAGTCTCACATGCACACACACACTTCAATATTGCAGATCTAAGGAAAACTGAACATTTTCCAGATTCAAAAGAAAATGCAGCATTTAAGGGAAGTGCCTGCTACCCCATCAGAAGAGAAGGAATGAAGCTCATTTAGTGTAAGTAAATGGAAGGGGCTTCCTTTCAGGAAGGAGGGAGCTGGAATTTGGCCAATGAATCTGAATTTGAGGTCAGTTGTATTTTTTGATAGCGAACACCAGCTGTAGACTCCTACCCAGTCCTTTTGCCATCAAAATCAGCTGTGTTCCTGTCTCTTAAAGGAGGACTCAAAGTCTTTGTGATCTGTCACAGTCTATTTTACTCTTTTCTACATCTGGCACCTAAATACCTCATTTATGCTTTCCCACCCTCTAGAAGGAGCATACTTTCAACATGCTACTGCACTCAGTTCCTCTCTTCTTCTCAAAGAAGATTTATTAAAATCTGTAAAAAGGATTAAATTCAAAACAATGTTAGTGACACCCGCAGACTGATGAGGATAGTATGCACATTCATGTATTCTACCAGTTGCCTGTTAACTTATTTCATATTACCAGCTTTGCTTATAAACATTCAATGATCACTTGCCCAATATCAGAAACTCATGCTTGATGATACAGTCACTTTTAAAAGGAGGGAGAAATGAACACATTACCTGGATAATTTTTCACTAGCTGCTCCACTAAAGTTTCCTGTGTGACTGTCACGTGATCTGCATTCATGTCTGTTATGGTACGGCATATTCCTTCTGACAGAGAAATGGAGTGTGACTGCAAGAGAGGATTCATGAGAACAGGGGTCACATCACCTGAAGTCCAGAAGAAGGAAGGGGAAAAAAGAAAAAAAAAAAAAAAGCAAGCATTGTTTGAAGGGAATAGTGTTTCATTTTTTCTATTAGCTGTGACAGATTTTCACTGAAAATTTCTTGTGTTGCCTCAGAACAAGCACTTTATCCTCAGCTAATTTTCTTTGGCTAATTAGTCGGAAGTATTTCTCAGAGAAGGGAAATGGCTCTAGTGCCTTTGTAATGAAGGAAACAGAAGGTTACCTTAATCATATTAGCTTGTTTGGTATTAAATTCCAGCCTAAACCATCATTTAGCTTAATAAACAGGGAGCTGAGAGAAAGAATTGTCTGATGACTGCTGATTTTTTAGATGACTGTTTACATATGAAACCATGCAGAACCTGTATTTCTCTAAGTAGCTAAGAGATTACTGAATGTTCACCTTTATCAAGTACAAAACTTTTCGCTAAGTCAGAATGCAGGGGAAAAAAGATTATTGACAGGCTTTGTCCCTTGTCTAGCACTCAAATTTAAATAGAAATAGTAAAAATTCCATTTTTAGACCAGTCTCTAGAGCTAGAGATTATCTACCAGGCTGGGCAGAGGGCAAAAACTTGCTACAGCAGCATGCATTTTTTAGGCTACCTCACCTCTCTCCTGGTGAGAGGCAGTAGCATTGCCCCTGTTCTGCGCAGAGGGGCTGAGCACAGCCCAACTCCCCCAGTAACTCTGCAGCCCCTGCCCAGGGGGCTGAAAAGGGTCTTAGTCGTTCACCTCAACTCCCCCATCCACAAACACAAGGATAAACACTGCCCTCTCCCCGTCACAAGATGGCATGGCCAGTAAGAGCAAGCCCAGCAAGTACTTCGGACACGGTACCAGTAAATGATGTAGGAAAATCCAAAATAAATACTTTCCCTGAAAGCTGATGACAAAGCACGATGCAGAGACTCACCTGAGGTCTGTGCATAACAGTGAGACAATGACAGCCTACACCTTCTCAGACAAAAAAAAAAAAAAAAAGCTTTCTTCTTTTTTCTTTCTTTCTTTTTTTTTTTTTTGCATAGGCTGATGGTCTGTTCCCCCTACCTGGTGGTGTTCTGTGCTCCCCTGTTCTGTGTTGCACAGAAAGCCCCTGGGTATCCTCAGCTGCCAGAGCAGGCAGAAGTCAGCAGGGACTCCTGGTTACTTCACAAGGCAAAAACTAGTTAAACACTAACAGCAATTTTCCCGTAAGTGCTAAATGACATCTCGGATTAAGCAATATTCATGTTTAACGAGACTTCAACTGGATAGTCTGGAGGATGACTCTGTAACCCGATATTTGTCCTTTAGGCACAAAACTGCAACACAGACATTTCCCTGACTAAATGACTTAAGCAACAACGCTTCTAAGAGCTTAAATTGCTCTTGACCTTTGCTTTACAACTGCTGCTCTGTTCAACAAAAAGCACTCAGAAAGAAGTCCTGGCATACACTTTCCTGGTTGATGTTGCTAGGATACTCCTTGCAGGTGCAGAAACCATTGCAAGCTTTCTTTTTGTATGGGAAAAGGCCATCAGCATTCAGTAATAACTCTTGTGACTAGTTTGCTGTCTCAAGTCTCTGCTGTAGGCATCACCATGCTGCTGCCAGTTTTATCATTTGCTCCTGCAGAGCACCAAAATGCTAAGGAGTAAAACACCAAGTGTAGTAAAAATGTATTCTTTATTTTTAGCATTATTATCTTGCTAGCATTGTCTGCATCTGTCAGCCTCAAATCCCATGTCTCCATTCAGGGAAGGCCCTCTCAGAATAATATTTAAAACAAAGCATAAAGCAAAGACCAGCTTGATACTGAAGGAAAACAACCCCACAAAAAAAATATTCAAACACAAGTCTATTTAAAATAATTGTTGCAGATCAATAGCGCCAGAGTACACACATGCTAACAACATGAATATTAGATACCATTCCGTCCTGCCTTTGAAATAAAATCTGAAATAGTGAAAGCAAGAATTAGATCATTGGCAACACTGATAAGCAGTGTGGGAAAAGGCCCAGGCAGCACCCTACAAGTGTCCATAAATTTTGTATTAAAAACTGTTGATTTACTTTCCATAGCTAAATAACTCTTGCGGTTGCACTTCAGATGTTCTCCCAAGTTTGATGGAAATACATAAAAGCTGCATCCCTTAGATTTGCACCAGGAGCAGTCTTAATTTATGCAAGCTGTCGCATTGGCTTGATGCAAAATGACCAAAATGCTGGGCTCATTAAAGCTCTTCAGTATCCATCCCTTTATAGCTCAAAAGAGACTGCAGAATCCCCTGTCCCCTTTCCTACTCTACATAAATCATCTGATAAGAATCATCTTTCTAGTTTCTTCATAGTTTTTAGGAAGGACTTGCTTATGTCTGTGTGCAAGGTATCTATCAGCAGTCAAGGAACCCAGGATAATCCTCTGGGTAGTTTAAATACAGCACAGTTTCCATTTCACACTCTGTAGCTCTTATAGAACCATGTTTACCAATGCCAATCCAGGCAGCCTGCCAGTACTCATGCATTATTATTCTTCAGTTTGGTTTACCTGTCTATTCAAACTCTGCTCATTACCTGGACACCTGAAACCCCATAATACCCTTTTGGAGCACATACTGGTCACAGTGTGGGGAAGTCATCTGCATCAGATAACAAAACAGTGCACAGAAAAGCCTCTGGGTATTCTTGACTAGCACAAAGTGATTTTTTGTTCCATCTCTGTAATGTGAGCTTTACCATTTTTCACCTAGTTGTTTAACAATTGCAGAATTTTTACATCTTCCGACTCTTAAGAAAATTTCCATACAAGACAAATTTTATCTGGGTAAAAACCAGGCTAGTTCTGAGGAAGTGAACAGAGAGGTATGTTATTACAATAGCGCTCAATTAACTTCTCAAAAATTTGGGTAAAAAATTTGTATAACAATAAAGGGTTAACAGTAAATTCATTCCAGAAAAAAAAACAAAACAAAAAACAAACAAACAAACAAAAAACCCCTCTACAAATGCAAATCAAGAATAAACTCCCTTGTATGATTCCACTTACATCTGTTGAGACAGAGAAGACACAGCATATGGAAACAGAAGATTGACTTTTCTGGTTGGTAGCTGGAAAGATCTATTTTGGAATTGCTTTGTATACTCTATTAAGTTGAACATACAAAAGATCCCACAAATCCTGTACCTCTCTGCATGAGAGCCCTAATATATTTGATGTACTTCACTATTTGCAGAAATGCACCAGGAAAGCCAAAATCAAGTACAGTTCTGTTAGAACCACAAGGCTTCTGCTTTTCTGTAAACTAGAGTGCATCGTGGTCATATTTTATAGCAAAAATTGCATTTTATAACTAAAGACAAAGAATTTTAAGGAACAAAAAGTTAATAAGAACATCATAGAAAGTTAGGAACTGTAGCAAAACACTTTTTGAACATTAATGAAGATTTTACAAGATGTTTCCTTATTAAAGAATAAAAATTCTATATAGATTATAGAGACAGTTAAGATCATGAAAACATTTTCAATTTTAAGTATATAACAGGGAAACTCTATTTTGGCACAAATAAATTGTACTAGATCCTGTTTTGAGAAACATCCTTTTACTGAAGCAAAGAGTAAATAGTTCAATTGCATTAAAACTGTCAAATCTTGTAATGTTTAATCTGTTACTGAAAAACAAAATCTCTCAGGAAGGGCAGAGACTATATTTCTGTTGTTTGATTATTTTCTGCAGCTCTCAAAGAGATAAACAAAATTAAGTATCAGTTAAGGTCACTGCACTTCTTCAGTCAAAGAAGTTTTTTTAAAGAAAAAGCTACAAAGACATCAAAATGTCAGATTTTTATACCAACTGATTCCTGCAAGGACACTCCCAGATCAAGACAGTGAGGCGAACAATGCCCTCCATTTGGACTCAATTGCTGGTTCTTGCAAATAGAGGATGATGCCATGCAACTTGAAAGACCAAAACCAAAAACCACCAAAACCCAACCACTTTTGCTGCCTTCCTGACAACACTGAAGTCTAGTCCCAACTACAAGTGTTGTGAACTTTTAAATGTACGACCTGTAAATGCTTTCTGAGGTTCCTAGCGAGAGCCATGGGATCTGTACTCTAATCTTGGGGCTAAGGGCAACCCACAGCCGTGTTTTCTTTCATCGGCAATAAAAAAAGCCACAGAAAGGATTTAAGAAGAAAGACAAGAGTTCTCTCCTGCAATCTTGGATCAAGCCCCCAGATAGGAACAAGTTACACAGTGGACACCAACATGTTCACTGTGGGATGGTTTTCGTCAAGCCAAGCATGGTGGGAAAGTTTTTTCCCCACTGAAACATGTATCTCTTATCTTCAGAGAGATCAACCCCTTCAACACTTACTGAGGCCATTGACGTGGCTGCTTAAACATGCCAAGAACATCTTGAGAACAGGTTTCAAGCTCCAAAGGTACTGACCAAACACATGAGCAAGCTCCCAACTTCAAATAGACTGTTTAAAAGAAAACAGCACTTCTGCTTCCTTGAAGACTAGCAGGCAAGTTGTCCAGTAGGGATCTGTGTTTCACCCGCAACAGCTGGCAAAATAGTCAACAAGCAAAGCCATATAAACACCTCTGCCTCTGGGGCATTTCGCCTGTTCACTGCGTAACTGGCAGAGAAATTCAACTATGAGCAATAGCACTCAGGATAATTATTTTTCATATACTGTAGCATGCCGATAATTAAGTCAATTCACGTATGGCACTGAACATAACCAGCACAACTGATAGCAAGGAATATAATCTTTAACCATTTCAGCATTCAGCATTAGGCTTGACAGATTTCTTCAAAAGCTTCATTGCAGGGAAATAAAAGTAACACAAAATGAAATGGTCCCAGGTAAGATGCAAAACTGTCAATGACTAGCCCATCAAGCCAAGCAACAGAACAGGAATAAGCCAGTCACTGGCAATGTCTCCAGCTCCCATCCACTGCTACAGGAATTTGACACAAGTACATCTTTTCCATTTGGCCTGGTCCAGAAAAGCCCCTTCCCAACCCTGGCATTTTTCCACTAAAACAGCTCTGCCTTTTCCTTGTTCCCAGCCCTGGCCTCTCTTCTGCAGTAAATCTCAGACCATCCAAATAGCTCTTTAATGTCAAAAGCTTTGTTACTGGGTGCTGGTTAGGTACTTACCTATACAGTGAAAGACTTTCTGTAAAAACAGCATCATGCAGTTGTGCATTCCTGTGCCTGTTCAGCTAAAGGTCAGCTCCAACTGCTGCAGTATTCCCAGAGCTGACTCCTTGGCCTGGAAATGTGCTGTCATACAAAAGGCAGTCACAAAAAGCATACAGTATAAAGCTGCAGCCGTGAGAATAAGATATACCTACAGTCATGTCTCCCCTCCCCAGAACTGACCAAAATTCACTTCTTTGCATGCTCCCTGGCTTCAGCTCACATTCACCCCAGCCAAGGAAACTCACACACCACATCTTTCAGAGACACAGCACCCACAGAGTTATTCAAAATAGAACATAGCCCCCTGCAGAGGGTTTTCAGCAAACCATGAATCAGGAGACACATGGCAGCTATCATGTCCAACTCACTCCCAGGCAGCATTTGGCCAAATCCCACCCACCACAGAAGAAGTTGTCAGAGAGCTTGGTGCAGCTGTAGCTTCCCTCAGGCCCCTGGATTGCAATGAGGACAAGAGCAGGGAGCAACCATCACAGCTGAGGTGGAACGAAGCAGCCCTCAGGTCTTGTTTCAGGGCATATCCCACTGCAGGGAGTTTATTTCAGTCAGCTGAGAACAAAGCTTTGATGGGAAACTTCACACCTGCCTGAGCAGCTCCTGATGTTGATGGATGTGCTCAGCTACTTTTCCTTCCACTCTCCCTATATGGACATCCAACTTCAAAGAAGTTCCCCATGTTAGAAAATAAGTTTCTGCACTGTTTCATTG